AAGCTTATAAAATAAGGATACCAAAATTATTTTGTACAGCAGTACAATGTATTGTAAGCTAAGTTATTACAAAAAGTAAGAAGAGTAAAAAATTCGAAGTTTATAAAGTAAAGTTATAGAAAACTAAGGTTAATATATTATTGAAGAAAATTTTAAAATAAATTTGGTGTAGCCTAAGTATGCAGTGTTTATAAAGACCACAGTACGCCAGGCCGGTGTGGCTCAATGGTTGAGCATTGACCTATGAACCAGGAGGTCGCGGTTCGATTCCCAGCCTGGGGCATGTAGGAGGCAGCTGATCAATGATTCTCTCTAATCATTGATGTTTCTCTCTCTCTCTCCCTTCCTCTCTGAAATCAATAAAAGCATATAAAAAAATAAATGAAGACCACAGTAGTGGACAGTAGTCTAGGCCTTCACATCCACTCACCCACAATAAACTCCAGCCCTGAAGACTCCTTTCATGGTTAGTGTCCTACGTAGGTACACTGTCTTAATCTTTTACACGTATGTTCACTGTACCTTTTCTGTGTTTAGTCTGTGTAGATACACAAACACTTACCCTTGCGCTATAGCTGCCTTCAGTACAGCACAGTAACAGGCTGTGCAGGTTTGTGGCAGGAAGCCTTCGGCTATACCACGGCCTGGGTGCAGCAGGCTGTGCCATCTGCGTCTGTGTAGGACACTCTGCGTGTCTCCACGATGAAATCCCTGATGACCCGTCTCTCAGGATACACCCCCTTCATTAGGCCATGCATGACTGTACTACATCTCGTTCTTCTCAAAAATCCATGCTCAGCTGAAACTGGTTTGGCTCAGTGGATAGAGTGTCAACCTGCGGACTGAAGGGTCCCAGGTTTGATTCTAGTTGAGGGCATGTACATTGGCTGCAGGCACATCCCCAGTAGAAGTTGTGCAGGAGGCAGCTGGTCGATGTTTTTCTCTCTTTGATGTTTCTAACTATGTTTGTTGAGTAAAAAAAAAAAAAAAATAAGCTCCTTGTCTCAAAGAATCCACTACCACCCATCTCATTGCATAAGCCAGGAACTTGTTTTACTCTTTTTTTTTAATACATATATATATATATATATATTATTGATTTTTTTTTACAGAGAGAAAGAGATAGAGAGCTAGAAACATCGATGAGAGAGAAACGTCGATCAGCTGCCTCCTGTACACCCCCTACTGGGGATGTGCCCACAACCAAGGTACATGCCCTTGACCGGAATCGAACCTGGGACCCTTCAGTCCGCAAGCCAATGCTCTATCCACTGAGCCAAACCGGTCAGGGTGCTGTTTCACTCTTGACACTTCTTTCACTCTATTACCAAGTCAACTTAACTCCCCTGATGACTGTCAAAGCAGTTTCCTTCCCTCCCTCCATCCCAGCCTAGTGCCACAGCCTCCTCACAGTTGCTCTGGGCCTTGCTGGCCCTCTGGTCCATCTACAAGGCAGCCAGAGTGACCTCAAATGCCAACTCAATTTTTAAAATAAAGAAGGTCCTTCACATGGCCTCGACCCCACCCAGCCTGACCTTGGTCGCTCCCCTCTGGCCTCTCTTACTGCTCCTCACACTGCCCGCTCGGACCCTGGTGTTCGCCATGCCTCCTTGTGGCAGGGCCTCCGCACACCGCCTGGATTGCTCTCTCTTCTCTCCCTGGGAGCCAGCGATTATCCCTCCCCCACCTCTGAGCCCAAGGACCGTTTCCTAAGAGGCTCTCAACCTCCCTGACCCAGTCAAATGTCCCTGTTACCAGGTCCTTATAATGCCCATACGACAGAGTTCACTTTTGTGGCACTTGTCATAAGTGAACTTCCCCCCAAGACGTTAACATAGGCTTATATATCAAAAACCACAATTCCCAGCTGGGACCGGTTTGGCTCAATGGATAGAGCATCTGCTTGGGGACTGAAGGGTCCCGGGTTCTATTCCGGTCAAGGGCATGTACCTCGGTTGCGGGCACATCCCCAGTAGGGGGTGTGCAAGAGGCAGCTGATCGATGACTCTCTCTCATCGATGTTTCTAACGCTCTATCTCTCTCCCTTTCTCTCTGTACAAAATCAATAAAATATATTTAAAAAAAAAACAAAACAAAAAGCAAACCATAATTTCCAAAGCAAACAGAGCAAGAGTTGGGCCCCCATTCAAACCAACAGAACTGTGCAGACATTTTTCTTCTTTTTAAAATATGTTTTTATTGATTTCAGAGAGGAAGGGAGGGGGAAGAGTGATGAGGAAATCATTGATCAGCTGCCTCCTGCACACCCCCTACTGGGGATCAAGCCCGCAACCCAGGCTTGTGCCCTTGACTGAATCAAACCTGGGATATTTCAGTTGGCAGGCCGACATTCTATCCACTGAGCCAAACCAGTTTCGGCTCTTTATCTGACTTTAAATAAATTTTAAATCATGCGATCCATCAAATTTTAAAAAGCATCGGTATTCAGAGAAAAGCTGAATATTTCCCCATTTTGCAAAACCAATTAGCATAAAAATATTTGCCTTTACAGCCCGAAAGTCTTGTTTTCATTGAGGTCCAGTGGAGACCTGGCTTAAGGTTCTGAAATAGGAAGCATCATCTGGAACAATGCCAATGAGGGGTTTTCACGGCAAAACTGTCTGATAAGGTTCTTTGGGGGCCTCATGCTCTCCCCATGAGACTCCAGAATTTCAGCCCAGGTCTGGTTGCCAGAGGGGTCTGGAAGCAACACTTGCATAGAACTACACTGATTTTATTTCGGATGTGTGTTTATCAGCTGTATCTTGGGGATTGGGGCAGGCCTCTGTGGGGCCCCCAAATTCCCCAGCCCGTCTTGCCGCTGGGAGTCTCTGCCCCAATTGAGACCACCAGAGGGCGCAAGAGCTTGGGTCCAAGTCCGCTCCCGCCGCGAGGGGCTGGGGTTCTGGGGTTCTGGAGAGGCTTCCTTTAATGTCTAGGGGATAGCTCAAGGGTTTAACAGGCAGCTGGGTTGGGGGATCCGAACGGCAGGAAGGGGACCCAGCGAGAGGTGGGGGACCGCTGCTCAACATTCATTCATTCGACACAAGCCGGAATCAGACACCCAGGAAGAGAGAATGGTCACTTCGAGGGAGAGCATTTCTAGGGATACTCAGTACTTTCAGAACCTCTAAATTCACTAATTTACCGACTTGAGATTTCTTTGTGTTTCATTATTTATGCATTCCTGGGTCGATTCTTTGTATGTGCCCGGACCGGGGATGAGGCCACAGCAGCATCTCTGGAGGAGCTGCCAGCCAGGGCCAGAACCTTTCAACATTCCTTTTTATTATTATTATTATTATTTTCTTCTTTTACAGAGAGGAAGGGAGCAGGAGAGAGTTAGAAACATCTTTTAAAAATATATATTTTATTGATTTTTAACAGAGAGGAAGGGAGAGTTAGAAACATCGATGAGAGAGAAACATCCATCAGCTGCCTCCTGCACACCCGCTACTGGGGTGTGCCATGACCAAGGTACATGCCCTTGACAAAAATCAGCACGGGACCTTTCAGTCTGCAGGCGGAGGCTCCATCCACTGAGCCAAACCGATTAGGGCCTTTCAACATTCCTTTATCTCCTTTGGGAAGAAGTCAGCCCAGAGGGTGTTGCAGATAAGGAAGCTGAGATTCGGAGGGTTGGCCGCTTCACCAATTCCCCTGTGTTTTTTTTGTGTGTTTTTTTTTTTAAAACTGAGATAAACCTTTTATTTATTTATGCTTCTCCATTTTGTTTAAAACAACAACCACCACCACCTTAGATTAACTGAACCACCTTAGATTAACTGACAGCCCTTCCCCCTCACCCCTTCTTGGGCGGGGGGTAGATAATGGGGAAATGGCCCCCAGGGGCGGGGCTGACATAGAGCCCCTGGGAGAGGTAATGGAGCCCCAATCCCTCCCCAGGGGACCGGGCACCTGTAGTGTATGAACTGGGGAGTTAGCGGGACTCTTTTTTTTTTTTTTAATATATATATAATATATTTTATTGATTTTTTACAGAAAGGAAGGGATAGAGAGTTAGAAACATCGATGAGAGAGTCATCAGCTGCCTCTTGCACGTCCCCACCCCTGGGGATGTGCCTGCAACCAAGATACATGCCCTTGACCGGAATCGAACCCGGGACCCTTCAGTCCACAGGCTGACGCTCTATCCACTGAGCCAAACCGGTTTCGGCTTAGCGGGACTCTTGAACGAACCCCTTCTTGTACCAACATATACGCCCTTGGCCCTCAAGGGTCAGGACGCATATGGGGAGGGGATGCCTACCGCTCCTCCAGGTGCCTGCTCAGCCCGTCTCAGGAACTGAGGGCTGAGGAGCAAGAAAGCGGACAAAGGGAGGGGGTAGGGTGTCACACGAAGGAGTCCAGGTGATTAATGGCTCTGGGGTGGCCCCCCTCTTCTCCATCGCCCCCTCGTGGTCGCAGCTGGAGTTCTGCCTGCCTTTGGGACGGCGGTCTCCGCGGCAGAGGCGCTCCCGCGCGCCGGGGTCCTGCGGAGCCTGAGACGCGCGCCTTGGTTACCCAGGCAACAGGCGGCGGTCACGTGGGGCGGGAGCCCGCGGCGCAGTCCCGGGAGCATGCGCGGCCGCGGCCTCGGCCGTCGGGGGCGGGTCATGTGTCAGCGGCTCGCACGCGGCGGCGGCCGCAGCCCCGGCTCCGTCGTCACATGACCGGTTTCTCGGCATCATGGCGGCGGCCGTGCTGCAGCGCTGGGGTTGAGCGGCAGCCAGTGTGGGGGGCTCCTGCCCGGGGTGAGGGTGGCTCCCCTGGGGGCGGGGAGGGTCAGGCCCTGCTCCGCCCCCTCAGCCCTCCCCGGACGTCACCCGATTCCACGCGCCCCCTCCGCGCGGGGTCTGCGGGCCGGGGAGAGGGGCGGGCCCGGGTTCCATCCCCGCCGCGCTCCGGGAGGCTCCCTCCAGCCTCCTTTCCCCGCCTCCTCTCCCCGCAGGTGGCATCGCCGGCGGGACCAGAGCGCGGGCGGGCGCGGCCCCGGGACCATGGCTGGGTCCGAGCACGAGCCCTTCCTCAGCCAGGCCGATGACACCGCCGACGGGCCGGCGCCCGGCGCCCCGGGCTTCCCGGGCTCCCTGGCGAATCCCAAGCCCGAGGCCCCGGAGGTCCCGGACCCGAAGAAGCTGCAGCGCATCACGGGCGTGTCGGCGGCCCAGTCGGCGCTCATCGTGGCCGTGCTGTGCTACATCAACCTCCTCAACTACATGGACCGCTTCACCGTGGCCGGTACTGGCTCCTGGGGGCCGGGGGAGGGCGCGGGGACCCACGGTGGGGCTGCCTCGCGGGTCCCATCCTGAGCCTCCTCCCCAGGCGTCCTCCCGGACATTGAGCAGTTCTTCGACATCGGGGACAGCAGCTCCGGCCTCATCCAGACCGGTGAGCGGAGGCCCCGCCGGCGCCCAGCAACCGCTTTCCCCTTTCTTGTCCCCCGCAGGGGCCGCACGGGCGGGGGACTGGGGGCCGCAGCGAGGGGAAGGGATGCCCGATGCTGCTCTGAGCGTTTGGGTTCGTTTGCTTCCTCAATGGAAGAGCAGCCGCTTAGTGCAGGGTGAAGCCAAACCCGGGCTTACATGTCAGCGAGCCGCTCACAGGGTGATGGCAGGCAAGGCCCCGACCTCGCCCTTCCCTTGTGGGTGCGATGGAACCAGTGACAGCCCAGACCCCCTCCTGGGGAGGATTTAGTGAGCCGATGCCTGTGGAGTGTGCAGGCCCCCCGCTGAGAACACTTATGGCGGGCACCCCATAAGTAATGGCGGGCGAGGGTGTCTGGAAGGGGAGGGGTGAGCTTTGTTTGTTCAGAACTTTGGGATTTGTGAGAGAGGCAGAGACAGGGCCAGCTCCTCTTTTCCTCCCCTCCCTCCTCCGCTGATTTCCTGGGCACCGACTATGGAGGGAGTGATGGTGACACCCTCAAAACTTATCCAAGACCCTTTATGGCCATTAAGTCTTCAAAGCCTTCCATCAGCCGAGGGATAGACGTTATTCTTGTTTGGTAGAGGAAGTGGCTAGTGTCATCCACGTTTCTATAAAGAAACGGAGGCCTGGAGAAGAGCTAAGACTTGACTCCGGCCACACCACACGCGAGAGGCAGGAGAGGAGTTTGAATCCAGGTCTCGCAATGTTCTCTGCTCCAGTCCAGGCCGATGAGGGGCTGGAAGGGTCTGAGGCAAGGTCTAGGGAAATGAGAACGGGGCCATAGGTCACGGTCTGAAGAGTCGTTGGAGAAGAAGGCAGCCCCAACCACTTTTTCACCCAACACATGCCCCTGGAGCTAGGCCAGATGTTAACGGAAACATGGCCGGGTTCAATAAGGCAGTGCCCGTGCTCATGGAGCGGACATTCTGCCATGCCTGAGGGGGCCACAGGCCATAAAACCCACACTGGTCCTGAGATAACTTTGTGTAGGAATAAGCGTTACGTGAAAACATGGTAGACGCGGTAAAGACTGCACGTGTGGTGGTTGGGAAAGTGTCTGAGCTGGAGCCTAAGCTTGCTAAGCTCTGTGAAGCTCAGGGGAGAGGAAAGAATGTTCTAGAGAGAAATGACGGCTGTTGCCAAAAACCTAAGCTGGTATTGAGGTTGGCCATCGGGCCAGTGGGGTGCAGAGAAAGGACAGGATGCGTGAGAGGTGGGAGAGGTGGGGGCGGTTAGGTTGGACAGGGCAGTGTGGCCGTGGGATGGGGGCAGTGTGGCCGTGGGATGGGGGGCAGTGAGCCGTGGGATGGGTGCAGTGTGGGCCGTGGGATGGGGGCAGTGTGGCCGTGGGGTGGGGGCAGTGTGGGCTGGGGATGGGGGGCAGTGTGGCCGTGGGATGGGGGCAGTGAGCCGTGGGATGGGGGGCAGTGTGGCCGTGGGATGGGGGGCAGTGTGGCCGTGGGATGGGGGGCAGTGTGGCCGTGGGGTGGGGGCAGTGTGGGCCGTGGGATGGGGGGCAGTGTGGGCCGTGGGATGGGGGCAGTGAGCCGTGGGATGGGGGGCAGTGTGGCCGTGGGATGGGGGCAGTGTGGCCGTGGGATGGGGGCAGTGTGGCCGTGGGGTGGGGGCAGTGTGGCCGTGGGGTGGGGGCAGTGTGGGCCGTGGGATGGGGGCAGTGTGGCCGTGGGATGGGGGGCAGTGTGGCCGTGGGGTGGGGGCAGTGTGGGCCGTGGGATGGGGGGCAGTGTGGGCCGTGGGATGGGGGCAGTGTGGGCCGTGGGATGGGGGCAGTGTGGCCGTGGGATGGGGGGCAGTGTGGGCTGGGGATGGGGGGCAGTGTGGCCGTGGGATGGGGGCAGTGAGCCGTGGGATGGGGGGCAGTGTGGCCGTGGGATGGGGGCAGTGTGGCCGTGGGATGGGGGCAGTGTGGGCTGGGGATGGGGGGCAGTGTGGGCCGAGGGATGGGGGGCAGTGAGCCGTGGGATGGGGGCAGTGTGGGCTGTGGGATGGGGGCAGTGTGGCCGTGGGATGGGGGGCAGTGTGGCCGTGGGATGGGGGCAGTGTGGCCGTGGGATGGGGGGCAGTGTGGCCGTGGGATGGGGGCAGTGAGCCGTGGGATGGGGGCAGTGTGGGCTGTGGGATGGGGGGCAGTGTGGCCGTGGGATGGGGGGCAGTGTGGGCTGTGGGATGGGGGGCAGTGAGCCGTGGGATGGGGGCAGTGTGGGCTGTGGGATGGGGGGCAGTGTGGCCGTGGGATGGGTGCAGTGTGGCCGTGGGATGGGGGGCAGTGTGGGCCGAGGGATGGGGGGCAGTGAGCCGTGGGATGGGGGCAGTGTGGCCGTGGGATGGGGGCAGTGTGGGCTGTGGGATGGGGGGCAGTGAGCCGTGGGATGGGGGCAGTGTGGCCGTGGGATGGGGGGCAGTGTGGGCCGTGGGATGGGGGGCAGTGAGCCGTGGGATGGGGGCAGTGTGGCCGTGGGATGGGGGGCAGTGTGGCCGTGGGATGGGGGGCAGTGTGGGCTGTGGGATGGGGGGCAGTGTGGCCGTGGGATGGGGGCAGTGTGGGCTGTGGGATGGGGGGCAGTGTGGCCGTGGGATGGGTGCAGTGAGCCGTGGGATGGGGGCAGTGTGGGCCGAGGGATGGGGGGCAGTGAGCCGTGGGATGGGGGGCAGTGAGCCGTGGGATGGGGGGCAGTGTGAGCCGTGGGATGGGGGGCAGTGTGGGCTGTGGGATGGGGGCAGTGTGAGCCGTGGGATGGGGGCAGTGTGGGCCGTGGGATGGGGGCAGTGTGGCCGTGGGATGGGGGGCAGTGTGGCCGTGGGATGGGGGCAGTGAGCCGTGGGATGGGGGCAGTGTGGGCCGTGGGATGGGGGCAGTGTGGGCCGTGGGATGGGGGGCAGTGTGGGCCGTGGGATGGGGGCAGTGTGGGCCGAGGGATGGGGGGCAGTGAGCCGTGGGATGGGGGGCAGTGTGAGCCGTGGGATGGGGGGCAGTGTGGGCTGTGGGATGGGGGCAGTGTGAGCCGTGGGATGGGGGCAGTGTGGGCCGTGGGATGGGGGCAGTGTGGCCGTGGGATGGGGGGCAGTGTGGCCGTGGGATGGGGGCAGTGAGCCGTGGGATGGGGGCAGTGTGGGCCGTGGGATGGGGGCAGTGTGGGCCGTGGGATGGGTGCAGTGTGGCCGTGGGATGGGGGGCAGTGTGGGCCGAGGGATGGGGGGCAGTGAGCCGTGGGATGGGGGGCAGTGTGAGCCGTGGGATGGGGGGCAGTGTGGGCTGTGGGATGGGGGCAGTGTGAGCCGTGGGATGGGGGCAGTGTGGGCCGTGGGATGGGGGCAGTGTGGCCGTGGGATGGGGGGCAGTGTGGCCGTGGGATGGGGGCAGTGAGCCGTGGGATGGGGGCAGTGTGGGCCGTGGGATGGGGGCAGTGTGGGCCGTGGGATGGGGGCAGTGTGGCCGTGGGATGGGGGGCAGTGTGGCCGTGGGATGGGGGGCAGTGTGGCCGTGGGATGGGGGCAGTGAGCCGTGGGATGGGGGCAGTGTGGGCTGTGGGATGGGGGGCAGTGAGCCGTGGGATGGGGGGCAGTGTGGGCTGTGGGATGGGGGCAGTGTGGGCCGTGGGATGGGGGCAGTGTGGGCCGTGGGGTGGGGGCAGTGTGGGCCGTGGGGTGGGGGGCAGTGTGGGCCGTGGGGTGGGGGCAGTGAGCCGTGGGATGGGGGGCAGTGAACTGTGGGATGGGGGGCAGTGAGCCGTGGGATGGGGGGCAGTGAGCCGTGGGATGGGGGGCAGTGAGCCGTGGGATGGGGGGCAGTGAGCCGTGGGATGGGGGGCAGTGTGGGCCGTGGGGTGGGGGCAGTGTGGGCCGTGGGATGGGGGCAGTGTGGCCGTGGGATGGGGGGCAGTAAGCCCGTGGGATGGGGGCAGTGTGGGCCATGGGATGGAGTGTGGGTTTTGTTCTTAGCTGGCTGGGAGGAGGGGATGAGTCAGCTGGTCCGTCCATTCCGAGGTGGGAGGTTTGGAAGACACTGAGCATGGGGTTGGACTGGCCCTGCAGGAGGCTCGGACAGTTGCTGGGTGGGGAGTTATTCCCCCCTCCTCGCCACCCTGAGCCGGCGGGGGAGGGGCGTGGGGGCTGGCTGTGACTCTCTGCTTCCCCTCAGTGTTCATCTCCAGTTACATGGTGTTGGCACCCGTGTTTGGCTACCTGGGTGACAGGTACAATCGGAAGTATCTCATGTGCGGGGGCATTGCCTTCTGGTCCCTGGTGACACTGGGGTCGTCCTTCATCCCCAAAGAGGTGAGGTCCCACAATGGCTCCTGCTTCTGGCCCCCCACTCTCCCCTCAGTCTTTGCTTCTGCTCTTTGGAGTCTTGGCAGACTGGGCCGGGGGAACTTGTGCATCTTCCTTGGTCCTTGCCATCTTCCCCCTGCCTGCCTGCCTGACTGAATCTGCCCGCCCCGTCCTTCCCGTTTCCTTTCAGAGCCTTCTCTCCATCACCCCGCTGGCCATGGCTCCTTCCACTCAGCACTGCACACTGGCATTTTTTTCTCTCCCGGGGACAAGGCTCACCGAGGCCGCCCTCTGCCCCCCTTTCTTTTCCCCTTCCCAGTCAGACTTCCTGAGAGGCCCCTGACCGAGCCCCGTCTGGGTGAAGGAGCAGCCGGGGAGAGGCTCTCGTTTGCCGGCACTTCCTCTCCCCGCGCCCTTGAGCACAGCCCGCCGAGCTGCCCCCCTCCGTTGCCAAAGTCAACAGGGACCTCTCGGTTGCTAAATGCAGCTCCTACTTCCTAGTCCTCTTCTCACTAGGCCTCCTGGAAGCCTCTGGCTCTGTTGACCCACTTCTTCCTTCCGGCAGCTCTTCTACCCTCTGTGACGCCATCCTTCCTTCGGGTGGTCCTCCTGCTCCCGCTGCTGCTGCTTTGCTCTTTTAATCTCTCCCCCGTCTGTCCTCCTCTCCGCCCAGGACGCTGTTCTCCGCTCTAGGCACTCAGGACACACTCCGTGGGTGTTGGTACCCGCCCCCAGCTGGGGGGTCTTGGCTAGACAGTGAAACCCCGCCTAACATGGTGATACATGATGGGGAGGGGTAGGCACGAGAGAAAGTAAGATTTATTTTGCACCTCCTGGGCACAAGGTAAGGAGTAGATCTTTTATTATCCAGTCCTCACAATAGTTACGTGAAGAAGTTGTTACCCCCTTTTCCAGATTAGGAAACAGGCTCAGAGAGGTTACGTTGCTTTCTCAAAGTCACAGCCAGGATGCGAGCTCAGGGCTTTCTGATTCTAAAACCCTGGCCTCTCCCACCATCCCTGTCACCTCCCCCCAACTGGCTGGTGAGTTGGCTGGGAGGCTGGCTGTAGGGTGGGGTGCCACCCCCCACCCCCGTCTCGTTCCCCAGCAATTCTGGCTGCTGCTCCTGACGCGGGGCCTGGTGGGGGTCGGGGAAGCCAGCTACTCCACCATCGCGCCCACGCTCATCGCTGACCTCTTCGTGGCAGACCAGCGGAGCCGGATGCTCAGTGTGTTCTACTTTGCCATCCCAGTGGGCAGGTGAGTGGGCGTGGGCCTGCCTGTGGGGAGGCAGAAGGGCCTGGCATTGGGCATGACCAGCTGTCCCTTCCCTCCCGCCCTGCCCCCAGTGGTCTGGGTTACATCGCAGGCTCCAAAGTGAAGGACGTGGCTGGGGACTGGCACTGGGCTCTGAGGGTGAGTCTGGTCACAGCCTGGGGGGAGGTCAGCAACACGTTCTCCGGTTCCCCCTTTCTACCTCAGACACCCCATTTCCAGGCAGCGTTTGCTCTGCCAAGCCTGCAGGCCTGGCTGCCCTCCGCACCAGCCATGTGCTCGACAGAATCTAGGTTGTAGGTGACGGAGCCCATTGTAAGTGCAGGCACCCAGTCGGGATGGCATCGGCTCTCAGAAAGGAAAGGAGGGGGAGCTGCAGGTACAGCCGGCTCCAGACGCCCACAGACAGGCATGCGGCCGCCCTCCTGAGCTCTGCTGTCCTCTCTGCCACCTTTGTTCCCAAGCACGTGGCCCCGAGTGCTTGAGCAATAGTCCATTGGTGTCTGGTTAGGTGAATGTGGTCACATGCCTGCCCTCCTGGAATCAGGCCCCAGGCTGGGAAGTTGGCCAAGTCTGGGTTACAGGCCCTGCTCCCCACTTGAACCACGTGGATTTAGAGAAGTCGGGGGTGTGGTTTCCCCAGAGAAAGTTAGGGTGCTGTTACTGAGGGCGGAGCAGTCAGGCTTGCAGGAATGGGAGTGGCCCCAGAGGCGCCCCCCCACTCCCTGGAGCAGGCACTTACCCCCTGTGCGAGGTCTGGGGGCAGAGTCGCCCTTGCACACCTCCCCTCCCCCCGGCCCAGGGCTGAGCGTGCCTCTGCCAGCCCGCCCTGAAGCCTCTCCCCGCAGGTGACGCCTGGCCTGGGCGCGGTGGCGGTGCTGCTGCTGTTCCTGGTGGTGCGGGAGCCGCCCCGGGGGGCCGTGGAGCGCCACTCGGACTCCCCTCCCCTGAACCCCACCTCGTGGCGGGCGGACCTGCGGGCTCTGGCTAGAAAGTGAGTCCGGTTCCATCCCAGTCCCACATCTTAGATCCCCAGGGAGGCTCTGGCCCTGACAGCTGGTTTGAAATTTACACGGACGTCGTCATTCGTTTAGAGAGAGGGGGGGGGGGGGGATGGATGTGTGGTTGCAGTTATTTATGCGCTCATCGGTTGCTTTTTGTGCGGGACCTGACTGGAGATCGGGCCCATGACTTAGGCATATGGGGGAGATGTGCCAACCTACTGAGCTTCCCGGCTGGTCTTCATTTTCTTTCCAGTCTCCTGGCCCAATATCAGAGCCAGTAAGTCAGTCACTACCGCCCCCTGTGGCAGCTGCTGGAATTTCAGGCCCAAATCCTGGGAGCCAGGACAGCTCCACACCCAGTGCCCTGACCTCAGAAAGTCAGCCGGGAAGGGAGAACAGAGTCCACTACCTCCGTGGTCGGCAAACTGCGCCTCGCGAGCCACATGCGGCTCTTTGGCCCCTTGAGTGTGGCTCTTCCACAAAATACCCCAGCCTGGGCAAGTCTATTTTGAAGACGTGGCGTTAGAAGAAGTTAAAGTTTAAAAAATTTGGCTCTCAAAAAGAAATTTCCACCGTTGTACCGTTGATATTTGGCTCTGTGGACTAACGAGTGTGCCCACCACTGGGCTGCCGGGACCCTCAGTGGAGTCTGACTTCCTCCCTTCCTCCCGCCGATGCAGCCCGAGCTTCGTCCTGTCCTCCCTCGGCTTCACCGCCGTGGCCTTCGTCACGGGCTCCCTGGCGCTCTGGGCTCCCGCCTTCCTGCTGCGCTCCCGCGTGGTCTTGGGGGAGACGCCGCCCTGTCTCCCCGGAGACTCTTGCTCTTCTTCTGACAGGTACCCAGGGGGCCAGGCCGGGGGCCTCCGGGGCAGGGGTGGCGTGGGAAGAGGGTGACCCAGGCCCAGACCAGGAGCGTCCGAGTCTCCATCCCACACGCTCCTTTCCTCCCGGAGTTTGTGTCCCGGCCCAGGGAGGTGGTGGGGGAACTTGGAGAACCGTGGGCGGTTGTGCCGGGTAGACCTGGGCTGTGAGGGTGCTGGGGGTCCCTCTCCTCTCCAGGCCGTAGGAGTGAGGCCCGGGGGCTGTGCGGGGGGGGGGGGACAGACTCGCCCCATGTCCCTCCCTCTGCCCCCAGCCTCATCTTTGGGCTCATCACCTGCGTGACCGGTGTGCTGGGCGTGGGCCTGGGCGTGGAGATCAGCCGCCGCCTCCGCCACGCCAACCCCCGGGCTGACCCGCTGGTCTGCGCCGCTGGCCTCCTGGGCTCCGCGCCCTTCCTCTTCCTGTCCGTGGCCTGTGCCAGGGGCAGCATCGTGGCCACTTACGTGAGTAGCCGGCAGGGCCCTGGGGAAGGAAGGGGCACGGGGGCAGGCCTGGGGCAGCAGCATGGTGGTGCACAGCCAGCGCTGGAGCGGGGATGCCTGGTTCTGAATCTCAGGTCCTGCCCTTCCTAGCTGTGTGACGTTGGGCAAGTGACTTAACCTTTCTGTGCCACTTCACCGTCTGTAAAGGGGAATGATAGTGGCTCCTGTTTCATGTGGTGCGTGAGGACTAATGAGCTAACGGATGGGCCTCCATGTGTTTGCTCTTGTGATGAGCTCAACCCTGCTTCCCCCTCGCCCTGGTCCCCAGGTGTTCATCTTCATTGGGGAGACGCTGCTGTCCATGAACTGGGCCATCGTGGCAGACATTCTGCTGGTGAGTAGGTGGGCCGTCCCAGGGCTGCTGGGAGCAGGGAGCGGGGTGGGAGGCTTCACTTGCCTTGAACTTTGGCCTTTACCCCGTCTGGCCCCAGAGTGACTTTGCCGTCCAGCCCCAGATGGGCCAATAGCCTGGCCTGCCATCCCCTTTACCCCAGCACACCTCTGAGCTGGGGTTCACCTCTGACCTCTGCGTGGGTTGAAGCCTTGGCCTCATGTTTGCCGTGTGTGTGTGTGTGTGTGTGTGTGTGTGTGTGTGTGTGTGTGTCTCCGCCCGCCCCAGTATGTGGTGATCCCTACGAGGCGCTCCACCGCCGAGGCCTTCCAGATTGTGCTGGCCCACCTGCTGGGCGATGCCGGGAGCCCCTACCTCATCGGCGTGGTGAGCGCTGCCCGCTGGCCGGGCTGGGGTGGGGCCGGGCACCCGGTTCCTGGCACGGCCGGCGGGCAGTGGCCAGGGGCCTGAGCCTGGGCGGCATTGGAAAGTCAGGCCCAGCTCTGGGCCACGTGCTCCTCACCCTGGGCCCTCAGCTGGACGGAAGGATTTGTCTTCGTGAGTTTCCACAGGAGGCCTGGACCTCTCTGGGTTCCAGACACCCTCCCCTTCCCGGCTCCAGTCTCTGTTCTTCTGGAGTTTGGGGCGGCCTTTCCAAGACTCTCTCCTGCTTTCCCTTTCCCGTCTCCCCGCAGATGTCCGACCGCCTCCGCCGGAACTGGCCCCCCTCCTTCCTGTCCGAGTTCCGGGCCCTGCAGTTCTCGCTCATGCTCTGCGCCTTCGTCGGCGCGCTGGGCGGGGCGGCCTTCCTGGGCACCGCCATCTTCATCGAGGGTGACCGCCGGCGGGCCCAGCTGCACGTGCAGGGTCAGTCCGACCGCCTCCGGCCGCCCGTGTGTCCAGGCCTGTGACCCGGCACCTCGGTCCACAGGCCTCCCTCACCCGCTCCGGGTCTGCCTGGCAGCCGGCTGCTGCCTGCTGTGTCCGCAGCTCTGGGCCCCCCATTCCCACCGCCTGTGTGTCCCTCAGGCTCGGTGTCCTCTGCCCAGCCAACCTGGCCCTGGCCCTCCCCGCAGGTCTGCTGCATGAGGCCGGCCCCGAGGACGACCGCATCGTGGTGCCGCAGCAAGGCCGCTCCACCCGCGTCCCCGTGTCCAGCGTGCTCATCTGAGGGCCGCCCCACTCCCTGCACGCTGGCCACGCTGGCCGCAGCCGCCCCGGCGCCCGCCTGAACTCGGCCTGGCCCGGCTTCTGAGCGGAGCCTGGGCACGTTCCAGGTCCACACTACATGGGCAGCCAGGGCTGCGATGGGGTGCGGGAGGGTCCCCTTCTCTGCAGCAGCCCCCGGGGCTCGGTGCTATTTGTACTGAATAAAATTTGTAGCCACAACCTGTCTGCCTGCTTGAGTCTCTGGGTGCTATGACCCCCTTCCCCTGGAATGCGGGGTACCCCCTCAGCCCCAAGGCTCCTGGAGGCCGGTGGTCACTCCTGCGGGCTCCTGGGCGGGAGAGCGAGGCTGCAGTGAGCTGGCTCCCTGTGACTGTGAGTCACGCCCCTGCTCCCCCAGAGCCCGCCCTGTGGGAGGTCAGCTGGGGTGCGGGGTGGGCCTGTGCGGGCGTCAGCCTCCCTCTGCCGCCTCCTGGGGCCCCGCTGTGGAGGCGCTGCTAGCCGCCTGCTGCTGCGCGTCCTTGCCCACTGGTGTGAGTGCCCTGGCCCTGGGGACCAGCAGACCGTGAGGGTCTGGGTGGCTCCCGGGCCTCCTCCTCTCTTCCCCACTGCTGGGTGGGGGTGGGAAGGGGGTAGGTGCAGCCGGCTGAGGAGCCTGATGATTTCCTGCCCTCACCCGGCGCTCACCACAGCTTCCTGCCGCAGGCGGGAGGGCAGGCGCTGAGGAGAGGCGGGCGCCGAGCCCAGGGGCAGGTAGGCCTGGGTGCAGGGTCCGCGCAGGGCGGCTGGTGCCCCAGACTCCGGCCCAGGCCCCGGCCTGACTGCCCTGGGGCCAAGGGTCTTCCAGCCAGCACCGAGGCGCACTCGGCCCCGGGCAGGACGGGGATCCAGGTGCTCCAAGGAGGACACGGCTGCCCCTGCCAGGCTCCAGCCTGGTGCCGCTGGTCCCCCGCCCCGCTGCCCAGCGCCTGCTCTGCTGCAGCTCTTTGCTGGCGGCACAGCGAGCAGCAGGTCGGGTCCGAGCTGTCCTGCAGATGGAGGCGGCCATCCTGCTGCCCCTGGTGCTGGGCCTCCTGCTGCTGCCCCTCTTGGCGGTGCTGCTGCTGGCACTCTGCGTGCGCTGCCGAGAGCTGCCCGGTGAGTGGGGGCTGGTGGGGTGGTCAGACACCCGGACACACGGACAGGGAGGACGGGGATGCCTCACTTCATCTAACTGTCCTTAACTCCTGCGTGCCCCTGACTCTGTCACCCTCCCCTCCTCACTGCCTTCCTGCCACCCCGGCCGTCTCTTCTGCAGACACCTATGACAGTGCTGTGCCCGACAGGTGAGTGCCCCCCTGGCCCGGGCAGCTCCCTCATTCCCTGGCGGGCTGGGCCGGGGCGTCTCCTGGTCCCTTACCCGCTGTCTCTCCCGCCAGCCTGCCGAGTAGCATCGTGATCAAGAGGCCTCGTGAGTGCTCGGAGGGCCCTCTCCCTTGGGGTAGCGGGGAGAGTCCTGGCGTGTGAGCAAGTCTGTGCCCTTGTTCAGGCTGCCCGGGGGCTGCCCGCATGGCCGGGACCTGAGCTGGGGCGGGGAGGGCTGTGGGTGCCCTTAGGCCTGTCCAGGGCACAGGGGCCTCAGGGGGTTAGGCCGCTATTGAGGCCTTGAGGGAAGGGGCATTTTGTCTGGAGTCATTCCTTCAGCTTGGTCCTGTGTCCTCAGCCACACTAGCCCCCTGGCCACAGGCTGCCGTGACCTCCTGTCCACCCCTGAGCCAGCCAGACCTGCTCCCGATCCCGTAAGTAACCCCCCTCCGCCCCTCCCAAGTCCCGCTCTCTACCCTCCACCTCCTGGGATTGGGGCCTTCTTTCCCCGCTGCAGCCCCTCTGGCCCCAGAGCCCCGTCCCAGGCGTGACCTCTGCCTTTGACCCCCAGGCGATCCCCGCGGCCCCCAGGGGGCTCCCACCGCATGCCGTCCGCCCGGCAGGACTCCGACGGCAGTAAGCTGGAGCGGGGCGCCCGGGCCCGGGGCTGGGCTGGCGGAGGATGTGCCCCCTCTCGCCCGGCTCAGTCTCCCTCTCGCCCTCTCTCTGTAGCCAACAGCGTGGCCAGCTATGAGAACGAGGGTGTGTCTGGGCCCCGGGGCTGGGGCGGAGGGCAGGGGGCTGGGCCTGGCCGGGCCGGGCTGACCCGTGTTCTCCCCCAGAGCCGGCCTGTGAGGACGACGATGATGATGAGGAGGAGGACTACCACAACGAGGGCTACCTGTGAGTGCCCGCTGGGAGGACGGGGCCGGGGTGCGGCCCGCGCTCACCCTTCACCCGTCCCCCGGCTTTCCGCAGAGAGGTGCTCCCTGACACCGTCCCCGCCACGGCCACGGCCACGTGCACCGCCGTCCCGGCAGCCGCCGCGCCCAGCAACCCCGGCCTGCGGGACAGCGCCTTCTCCAGTGAGTGGCCTTCCGACGCCCCGGCTTCTCCACCACGGCCCCTCGCTCTGCTCTCCGGGCGTTTCTGCGATGCTGCCACCCCTCTGTCCTCTCTCTTCCCTTCTCCTAGCACTCCGTCCTTCAGAAGGTGGGCTTCCGGCTCTGGCCTCCTGAATGCCCCCTTTGCCTCTCCTCTGTCTTCTCCTTTTATCGTCTGCAAGATTCCCTTAACCTTATTCCTCCTTGGCCCTGGGCTATCCTTTCATTTCATTTGTTCCTCCTGTCGGGAAGCTCTCTCCTGATTCCCGAATGTTCCTTTCTCACAGCTTCCTGTTCTAGTTCACGGAGGGGGGGGGGGGGGATCGATGTTAGCTTCTCTCCTTGTGTCTCTGTGCTTCTGGAATTTTTCTTCTGCTTCCTGTTCCCTCTGAGCTGCTCTTCCCGATGTGTTTGGTCACGTCCTGCCTGGGAGGCGTTCTCCTCCGGTCTGAGATCTGCAGGGTCCCTGACGCCCCTCTCTGCTCAGGCCCCGGGCCTCCGTGCTGCACGCTGGCCGTGTCTGCCACCAGATTCCCAGCTGTCCCCTCTCTCCGAGCACCACAGCGTCTGCCCCAAGTGCTTTCCTTCCTTCATGCGTTCCCCTACTCCTCTGTGCTACTTCCTGGCGCCTCTGACACGGCAGCCAACGAGGGAGGGTCATGATGAAAAAGCTAACGTTACTGAGGACCCACTGTGCCCTGCTACGAGTTCCAGGCCTGTGAGCTTGTGAAGCCTCCCCGTCCCCAGGGGCCGCGAGGCCTGTCCCTCCCCGGGTGCCTCAGCCTCCCCGTCTGCTCGATGGCGGCGCTGGCTTATCTAACAGACGCCACTGCTTACTGCTTACCGCTCACACTCGGTGTTCGTGGCCTTGGTCCGCGCAGCACCTCCGAGAGATGGGGGGTGACTCAGCCCATCTCACAGACGAGGAAACTGAGGCCCAGCGAGGCAGGAGAGCTGGTCTGAGGTTACGAGGTCAGTTAGTGATGAAACTGGGTCTGAGCCTGGGCCGGCCGGCTCCCAAGCCCGTCTTGTCCACAAGCTCACGGAGAAACAAGATGGTATTGGTGACAAGATGTGCTCCGAAGAGGCTAGGACAGTGGTTCTCAACCTTCCTAAGGCCGGGACCCTTTAATTCTGCTCCTCATGTGGTGGTGGCCCCCAACCACAACATTATTTTTGTTGCTACTTCGTAACTGTGATGTCGCTACTGTTATGAATTGTCTCGTAAATCTCTGTGTGTTTTGATGGTCTTAGGTGGCCCTGCTAGCGGTTCTCAACCTGTGGGTCCCGACTATAAAGCCTAAGACCCTCGGGAAACACAGATATTTACATTAAGTTATGAAGTAGCAACAAAAAGTACAGTTACGAAGTAGCAACGAAAATAATGTTTTGGTTGGGGGTCACCGCAACACGAGGAGCTGTGTGGAAGGGCCGCGGTGTTAGGAAGGTTGGGACCCGCCGGACTAGGGCCAAAGTGGGAGGAAGGGCCAGCCGGGCGATGGCCCCTCGGATGGGCCCAGCCCTGGGGGGTCTCCCTCCACACGTGCCTCCCAGCCCCGCCGCTCTGCGCTGCCCACGCAATCTCTCCTCTCTCGGTCGCATTCCCTTCCATCCGCTCTGGTCAAATCGCCGTTCTCGGGGTCCCTCAGGCCATTGGCTGCGCTGGTGGGCGCCTCCCTGCCGCCCTCCGGGCCGCTGTGGGCCGGTGTCTGGGCGTCGGAGCAGGAGTCCTGGCTGGTTTTGTTGAGTCTGGGGCCGGGCGGGAGCTCCGGGGGGTCTGCCCCGGGGCCCTGGGTAAGCCGGCCCCGCTGCTTTTCCGCAGTGGAGTCCGGGGAGGACTACGTGAACGTTCCCGAGAGCGAGGAGAGTGCCGATTTGTCTCTGGGTGAGTGGCCGGTGCCCCCAGTGCCCTCCCTTCCCCTGGCCCTGCCACCCCGGCTCACTGCCAGCGTGGCCGTGCCCGCAGCCGTTCTGTGGCTCTGTCCCCCTTGGTCTGCTGTCCTCTGCCCTCTCGCCCAGGGTGGCTGTCCCTCCTTCTGACCTGTCCCCGCAGATGGGAGCCGGGAGTATGTGAACGTGTCCGAGGACCTGCCGCCCACCGAGAGGACTGAGCCCGGTGTGCGCCGGGGGAGGGCGGGAACGGGGGCTCCCTGGGTTGGGGGACAGTGTGTGAGGTGAAGACCAACCTCCCCTCCCCCTACAGCCACCTTGAGTTCCCAGGAGGCAGAGGAAGAGGAGGAAGAGAGTGCCCCAGATTATGAAAATCTGCAGGAGCTTCAGTGAGACCTGTGAGCGCCGGGCCCTGCCCTGCCCCGCCCTGCCCACCCTGCCCTTCCCTGCCCTGCCCTGCCCTGGATCTGAGGGCTCCTGACCCTCCCTCAAGTCCCTGCCCCGCCTCCTCAGCCTCTCCTCCCTGATTCTGGGGACCCCTCGGACACCCCTTCCGTGCCACCTCCTGACCCATGGCCCCTCTGTCTCTCCCTGCTCTGTGTTTCAGCATGAGGCGTGCTGTCCTAGAGCTGCCTTCCCGGGAGGGCTGAGCTGGGCAGCTGGAAGGCCCACGTGGCACCCCACCCTGGCTCCAGCCTGACAACAGCCTGAGAATTTCCCCCCTAACTTATTGTCACTTTGGGGTCCAGTCTGGGTGCCCCCAGCGCTGCACCTTCTGACACAGCCTGAGAATCAAGGGCCTCGGCCCGCGGCCCTGCTCTGTACAGAATAAAGGCTGGCCTGCTCTGTAGCTCTTGGCTCTGGGGACCCCGTGGCGGGTCAGGGTGAGGGGGCAGAGGGTCTGCGTGTGTGGGGGTCCCATCCCCCACAGGGCCTCCCGCTCCTTCGGGTCCCGGCCAGCTGCTGTGTGAGCAACCGGGAGGCCAGGCCAGTCTCCTTCTGAGCGAGGCCGGTGTGGCCCAGCCTGGCGCTTTGGCCCCGACGCACGCCCCTGAGGCAGTGCACGGAGGAGGCTGTGCTGGGGGGAGCGGCTGGAGGCCACTGGGTGGGCCCTAGAGCAGCCCTCCCTGCCGCCCGCTTCCCCGTCTTTGAAAGAGGACTTGATGACTTTGAAAGGCTTTGTTAGTTTTTACCTTCCGTGGTTCTCAATAAAACAGAACTTAAAAATGGTCTAAGCTCGCCCTGGCTGGTTTGGCTCAGTGGATAGAGCGTCGGCCTGCGGACTGGAGGGTCCTAGGTTCGATTCCCAGTCAAGGGCCCATGCCAGGTTTTGGGCTTGGTCCCCAGTGGGACGTGTGCAGGAGGCAGCCGATCAGTGAGTCTCTCTCATCATCGATGTTTCTAGCTCTCTCCCCCAGTCCCTTCCTCTCTGAAATAAATAAAAATATATATTTAAAAACTGTCTAAGCAGCTGAAAACGTTTGTGTGCAGCACTTTCCAGACTCGGGTATGCAGACGGCTCACCTGGAGGTTTTTCCAAAAAGCTGCCCAGGGCCTTGTCTTCTGACTGGGAGGTGAGGCAGGGCCTGAGGCTCCACTTCCAAGGAGCCCCCGGGGTTCCGACGCTGCTTCTAAAAGCTGCTCTGAGGAGCTGGGCGGGTGCTGGCCATGGCTCCCGCGTGGGCGTGTAGGACCGCCGGGGACGTGGGCAGGAATGCTGGGAAGGAGAAGCTCTTTCCGTTCCTGGTGGTGAAGCTGCAGGGATGTCGCCCTGGAGCCCCCACCTGGAGACTGGCCACTGACACGGAGGGGAGTGGCCCTGAGCGGGATGGACCAGCTCCTGCTCAATCCTGGAGCCCTCACGCCTGGAGTGACATCCCTCAGACGCCCCAGTTACATGGCCTCCCACCGGCTGGACGGGCTTCTGTGGCCACAGCGAAGTCGTCCTGAGTGACGAGGTGGTCGGCGTCCAAAGATAATCACAACAGCATCTCTTCATGGAGCTCCTGTTCGTTTTCATGCTTTTCTCCCGGAATCCCCCTCACTTGCCGGCTGCTGGCTACTGGGGGTCTCCGTGTCCGGGGAAACCGGCTCAGAGAGGAGTGGTACGCAGTGTCGGCTGGCCCAGAGGGGAAGCCCTCACAGCCAAGGGCAGCAGCAGGGAGGGAAGGGTTGGACTGGCTGGACATCAAAGAGTCATTTGCTTGGGGATGGACATGGGCGGAGGGAGCTCGTTGGGCAGGGCTGAGGGACACACCGGTTGCCATCAGGATAGTTGGTACTAGCACCGGGGAGAGCAGGGCAGCAACGTCAGCGAGGCTGCAGACGGCGTGTCCCTTTCCCAGCGCGTTCCCGGGGAGAGACCTACTGGCGCGTGGGCTAAGGGGGCGGCACGAGGCTCTGGGCTGCACGGGAATGGCTGGTCACCAGCAGAATGGACACGCACCGTCAGGACTCACCAGCGGATAAAAATGAGGAGGACCAGCACCTATCACTTCCAATAACTATCGCCAACCATGTGGGCGAGGAAAGGAGAACCAGCTATTTTATTTATATAAAGCTAAAAAAAAATGAAAAAGCTATCCATTGCCCTGACCGGTTTGGCTTAGTGGATAGAGCGTTGGCCTGCGGACTGAAAGGTCCCAGGTTCGATTCCGGTCAAGGGCATGTACCTTGGTTGTGGGCACATACCCAGAAGGGGTGTGCAGGGGTCAGCTGATCAATGTTTCTAACTATTTCTCTCCCTTCCTCTCTGTGGGGGAAAAAAAAATAAAATAAAATATATATACACACACACACACACACACCCTATTTCCCTGAAAATAAGACAGTGTCTTATATTAATTTTTGCTCCCAAAGATGCGCAAGGTCTTATTTTCAGGGGATGTCTTATTTTTCCATGAAGAAGAATACGGTACACATTTATTGTTAAATGAAAATAAAGGAAATTTATTACCTGTATATGGTACAGTAGTACGGTAGTTGTCAACACAAACCAGACAAACTGTGAATCCTACAGTATCAAGAATTTACTCATTTGTTCAATGACAATCATGTCATCATCTTCTGGAACATCATCATAACAACCCAATTCCTGAATTTCCTGGCGAATTTCTTGTGACTCCATTTCTTTCAGAATCAGTGGACCAAATCTCTCATGTTTAGCCTAGGGGGGCCTTATTTTCGGGGGGATGCCTTATATTTCACTCAGAAGGAAACCTGTAAGTAGGTCTTATTTTCGGGGAAACACGATATATATATGAAAAAGAAAAAGCTATACATTGCTTGGGAATACACATTATGGCTGGATATCAGGATAGGCAAAGATTCCTCCCTCAGGAATCCCAAATTCAGGAGAGGTGACTCTGGGGCAAGCAATGGGGGGGGGGGGGGGGTATTGGGAAGGAGTTCAGGAAGGCCTTAATTTTTATATATTGATTCGAGAGAGATAGAGAGAGAGAGATCGAGAGGTCGATTTGTTGTTCCATTTAGTAATGCATTCATTGGTTGGTTTATTTAATTTACTTTTTTGGCTGATTCTTCAATGTGCCCTGATGGAGATCGAACTCAGAACCTTGGTGTAGGGGGGACGATGTTCTAACCAACTGAGGTGCCTGGTCAGGCCCATATGCCTTATTCTTAAGCAGAGCTGGATGCACAGTGTTTGGTATATGATTCTCTTGTTTCCATAAGAAGAAGGGAGACCAGGGCCCAAGCAGGGAATGGTTGGGGGCGGGAGGGTGGGCAGCTCCAGGAGGCTGACCCTGGTCTTTCTGGGACAATCGGTGCTGCAAATGGCGCTCCGGGACTTAGAGCAGCTGCGCAAAGGCGCTGAGGGGACAGTGAGGAAGGTGTGGCCTCGTGGAGTAGCTGAGGACAGGTTGCCTGACAGGTTGCTCAGCATGGGGCAGCTAGGGGCCCTGGCGTGCTTTGGTGGGCTGGGGGGGGGGCGGGGGAGGCAGCGTTCTGTGAGGCACTAACCAGCTCCCATTGTGTCTCTCGGACCAGCAAGAGGAGGTGGCTTTGCTTCCACAGCCAGTGAGCACGCAGCGGGGAGAGGCAGAAATGGCTCTCTTCGCCAGGTCTGGGGCGGGGGGCGCGGGGGAGGTAGATTCAGGGATAAGAGTTCCCCGAATTGCCGGGGGAGACCCCTGGGCGCTTCCAGAGGCCACGGGAGGGAGCAGCAGCCCTGAGGCCGGGCCAGAGCAGTAGGACCCGAGAGGTGGTCCCAGGGCGGGGGTGGGGGTGGGTGCGTTGTAGAGGCAGTGGGGTCTCCTGCCAGAGAGGGCTGTGCCTACTCCGCCCTCCCAGGAGCCACGTGGAGGGCTGTTTCCAGGGTGTTCTCTGCCCGTCCGGCCCCCGGGCACAGGGGCTCCCAGGGCCAGAGCAGCCTGAGCGGAGGGAGCAGGCTGCCCGGTGGCCCGTGTGTCCGGGAGAAGCTTCTCCAGGAGGAACTGCAGGTGGAATCCCGGGAAAGCCTGTTCTCCAGTTCCCCTCTGGGGGGTCAAAGTTCGTATCATCAGCTGATGGCTGAGAGGTCCGGTAATAGTGTCTCTGCTTCTCTTTGCCTGACCTGGTGTTTCCCAGGCTCCTTTGACAGCGGAACCTTTAAAAATGTTATTAACAACAAAACACACCAGCTGAGAGAGAGAAAACCACTATAAAGATGTCGTTGGCATCGCTGGGAGACAGCTTCCGCCAGCCAGCATGTGCTCCTCCTCCTCCTCCTCCTCCTCCCAGCGAGCCTCTGGGGCAAACCCTGTCTGACACAGGGTTTCTTGTGCTCTCTGCTCCTCCTCCCGCCCGCCCGCTCCGCCACCCGCTCCTCCACCCTCCCGCCCGCTCCTCCACCTGCCCTCCAGCTCCTCCACCCTCCTGCCTGCTCCTCCACCTGCCCTCCAGCTCCTCCACCCGCTCCTCCACCCTCCTGCCCGCTCCTCCACCTGCTCCTCCACCCTCCTGCCTGCTCCTCCACCTGCCCTCCAGCTCCTCCACCCTCCTGCCTGCTCCTCCACCTGCCCTCCAGCTCCTCCGCCCGCCCACCCACCCGCTCCTCCACCTGCCCTCCAGCTCCTCCACCCGCTCCTCCACCCTCCTGCCCGCTCCTCCACCTGCCCTCCAGCTCCTCCACCCGCTCCTCCACCCTCCTGCCCGCTCCTCCACCTGCTCCTCCACCCTCCTGCCTGCTCCTCCACCTGCCCTCCAGCTCCTCCACCCTCCTGCCTGCTCCTCCACCTGCCCTCCAGCTCCTCTGCCCGCCCACCCACCCGCTCCTCCACCTGCCCTCCAGCTCCTCCGCCTGCCCACCCACCCGCCCGCTCCTCCACCCACCCACCTGCTCCTCCACCTGCCCTCCTGCTCCTCCTCCACTTGCCCTCTCCCTCCTCCACTCG